AACGATCAAGAAAAATAGAGGCCTATTGGTCTCTGCCACATGTATGTGTTTCTAGTTCTTGTCTCCCTCTCTCTCTCTCTCTCTCTCTCTCATTCTCCTGATGGGAATTGGACCTGGGGCCTTGCACACCCTGGACCTGTTCAGCCCGCCCTCCCCCCACTCTTATTTTTGACTGCGCAGTGAGTGAAATTATAATTTCCCAGGGGAAATATTGTGCTTCGATTAGCTATTTTGCTTTTACTTTACCACCACATACTGCTCTTTTCCTTCCTCCTTTCTTCTTCCATTTAAACCTCTCTCCCTTCCTTTGTCGCTCCTTTGTTATTGTTTCCTTGATTTTTCTAAAAATTATTTTTATCAGTGCATCTCACAGTATACATGAATTACACTGCTGGTTGGGAGTTGGTATATGTATATAACGATCTTTTGGTGCTCTACCCTTTAGCAAAAGGGATATCTCCTGTTTCCTCTTATCTATTTTTATTTTGCTCTTTATTTATAATTTTATCAATAGTATTTTATAGAAGAAAAACAATGTAATATTTAACTTGTGTGTCTGATTTATTTTACTTAAAACTATGGTCTCAAGTTGCATCCACTCTTCCCACAAATGACTCAAGTTTATCCTTCTTTATGGTAGAGTAGTATTCCGTTGTGTATAATGCCACATTTTCTTTATCCGTTCCTCTGTGGATGGGCATATAGGCTGCTTCCAAGGTTCAGCTATTATGACTTGTGCTCCTGTAAACATGGGTGTGCCTGTATCACTGTGATGTGATGCCTTAAACTGTTTTGGGAGATACCTAGAACAATGCTGAGTCTAGTAGAATGTCTAGTTTTCGTATTTGAGGGATCTCCGTGCAGATTTCCATACTGGTAGCACTAGTTTGTGTGCCCATTGCACAGTTCAGAAGCTCTCTTTATTCTCCACAGCCTCACCAGCATACGGAGCGATTTGATTTCTTGACAATAGTCATTTTTTTCTAAAGTAAGGCGGTATCTCAGTTTATTTTAATTGGCACTTCCCAAATGGTCAGAAAGTGTTGAGCATTTTTGTGTACTTCTTCAAGAACCATGTGTATTTTTCTGAAAAGTGTCTCTCCGTTGAAGCTGCCCAATGTTTGATTGGATCTTTTATTTTGGGAGTATCTAATTGTTTTTGAGTACTTCATAACATTCAGATATTAGCCCTCTGTCCAAACAATAGCTGCAGCACTTTTTACCACTCTGTAAGTGTCCCTTCACTCTATTGCTGGTTTATTTTGTTACACCATTCTTGCTACAATTTCTTGTGCCACTGGGCTTCTGTTCAGAATGTTATTTCCTGTGCCTATGCCTTCAAGAGTTTCAGCCCCTTTATTTTCCAGCACATGAAGTGTTACTATTTAACATTTAGCTATTTAATCCATTTTGATTTTAAGTTAGTATATGGTGAAAAGTACGGTTCTGGATTCAATTTTCTGCCTGTGGATATCCAATTTTTCCAGTACCCTCAGTGTAAGAGGGTATCTTTCCCAGAAGAGTGTGTTTTCGGTCCCTTTGTCATAGATCATATAGCTGAATGTGCTGGAGGTGATTTCTGCATTTTCTGTTCTGACCCTTTTATGTACATGTCTTTTTTTGTGTCAAGGCTGTGCAGTTTTATCCTAGTGCCTCTGTAGTGCAATTTGAAATCAGGGATCATGACGTTTGCTTTCACTGCTCAAGGTTTCTATTTTGTGTCTCTTTTAATTTTCTTTTGGTCTCTTTTAGTTCCACACGAATTAGCATTGCTCTTTTTTGTTTGTTTTTCTAGTTCTGTGAGAAATGCTCTTGCTATTTTAACGAGCTTTGAATTAAATCTGTGTACCAGATTAGGGAGTGTGGCCATTGTGACAATCTTCATTATGCCAATCTAAGAGTGAGAAATGTCATCTTTCCACTTTATTGACATTACCTTCAATGTTCTTTTTCATAAAACTTTAGATTGTATTGTATAGAACTGTTCTTTCCTTGGTTAGATTAATTTCTAAGTATTTAATCTTTGTTAATGCTATTGTGGATATTGCTTTCTACTTTCTTTCTCAGTGAGTTCACTATTGGTATACAGTAATGTTATACTTTTTGTGTGTTGATTTTATATCCTGCTACACTACTTAATCTGAATATGACTTCTAGAAGATTTTTGATGGAATAGTTTTGGTCCCGTATGTAGAAGGTTTTGTCACCTGCAAATAATGATAATTTTGATTTTTCCTTTCCTATATTTTATTTACTTGCTTTCCTGATCACTCTGGCTAATGTTCTACACACTATATTAAACAGAAGTGGTGATAGTGGATATCTTTATTTTCCCCCTGATTTTAGGAGGAAAGCTTTCATCTTTAGCCCATTTAATATAAAATTGGCTGTGTGTTTGCCATAAAGGGCCTTTATCAGACTGAGGTGAAGTTCTGTATCATTTTTTCCTGGGTTTTCATCATGAGTGTGTGGGAGTTTTTCAAAGCCTTTTCCGTCTCTTCTGAAATGACGATGTGATTATGCATTTGTTTCTGTTTGTACGACTTTTATATTTACTACTCTCGGTATGTTGGACCGTACCTGAGCTCCTGGGATGGAACCTCCTGGGTAATGATGACTTCAGAGTGGTCGTCTTGACTGAATTTTGTTTGCCAGTCGTCTTTGGAGGACTGTTGTACCCATGTTCAGAAAACAGATCGGCTCATAGTATTCGTTTTTGCTTGGGTTCTTTTCTGGTTTTAGACTTGGGGTAATGCTGGATTTGGAAATGACATTGGGATTACTTCTTCCCTTTTCACTTCATTAAGGCTTTTCAGATGTATTGACTATAGGTCTTCGCTGAAAATTCTGCAGGATTTAGAAGTGAATCCATTGTGTCTCCACATTTCGTCAGGAAGAGTATGTTTTTATTACTACTTCAATTCGCGTTTTGGGATTATGCAGAGTCTTTGTGTCTTCTTGGTTTCATTTTGATAATTTGTATGTGTCCAGAAATCTATCTTTTATTTGTCTGTATTCTCCAGTTCACTGGAGCACAGGTTCTTAAATTAGTCACTTATCAATCTTCTGGATTTCTGTGCTATCCATTGTGATTTCACATTTTCATTTCTAAATGCATTGATGTGGGTATTTTCTCTCCTTTTTTGGTGAGATTGGCCTACTTTGTTTATTTCTTCAAAGTACTTGGACTTCAATTCATTGAGTTTTGTACTTTATTTTTAGTCTCAATGTTAATTTCTACTCTGATATTTATCATTTCTGTTTCTTATATTAGATTTGGACTTGGGTTGTTCTTGTTTTTCTAAGAACTTGAGGGGCATCTTTAGGTTATGCATTCTGGCTCATTCTGCTTTTCTGTTATGAGCATTTGCAACTATGAACACCCCCTTTAGGACCGGTGTCATCTTTGTAGCATGAGTTCTGGTCTGCTGTGCTTGCATTATAATTTAATTCAGGGAATTTATCTAATCTATCTTCTGTTACCCACTGATTATTAAAGAAGGTATGATTAAATTTCCTAGTGTTTACATAATTTCTCTGGTTTCTTTTGGCACTGACTCCTAGCTTCACTGCACTGTGATCTGATAGTATGCGTGTTATGATTTCAATTCTTTTGCATTTACATAAGTGCATTTTATGCACTTTCACAGTATCTGTTTTGGAAAAAGTTCCATGTGCTATTGAGAAGAATGTGTATTGGATTGTTGTTGGGTGGAACATAGATATCTTTTAAGTGCATTTATTCAAAACTTTAGTTCGGTTCATATTTGTTTGTTGATTTTTTTCTTTTTTGTCTACTTGATTTGCCTGTGTGTGACAGTGTGCTGTTGAGTTCCCAGATAGAATTGTGTTGATGTTTAAATAAAAAGTGTTCTATATGTCACATATTGTTTTATGGAGTTGGGTGCACCCACTGTCCAGTGGAAAGAGTTAGTTTGCAACTGATAGTCTCCTCTTGAATCATTCTATTAACCAATATGCAGTGACCTTCTTTGACTTGTCTGCTTGATTGACTAGTTTTGGCTTCCAGGGCGCTTTAACTGAAAATAAAACAGTGACGCTTGCTTGTTTTTGCATTCCTGTTGCATGGGATATTGTTTTCCATCCTTTGGTATCTTTACTCTGTGAATTTCTTTTTGAGTTAAACATGTGTCTTTCACACAGCATATTGCTCAGTTCTTTTTTTTTTAATGGGGAACTGAAACCATTAATATTGAGAGTTAATACTGACATGTATGGGGATATTGTCATTGTTTTTTTCCCTGTTGCTGATTTCCTTCTTTTTTTCTAACTGGTCACCCTTTCCAGTGTACTCTTTGACACTGTTAGCTTCGTTCACTCTCTTTAGGACATCCTTGAGAACTTTCTGAAGGGCTTGGTTTCATGGTCATGAGTTCCTTTGGTCGCTTTCCGTCATGGAAATACTTTATTTCTCCACCAACTTTGGAAGAAAATTTTCAACTTTGAAAGAAAATTTTGCAGGAAATATCAATCTGGGTTGGAGGTGATTTTCTTTTAGGGATAGAAGTGCTTCACGTCAAGCTTTCCTGGCCCTTGAGGTTTGCGTTGAGAAGTCTGCTATAATTCTAATCATTTTCACTTTATAAGTACTTTATTACTTTTTTCTTATAGCTTTTAAGATTCTGTTCTTGGGCCCTTGTATTGGAATGTGGGGATTTTGACTATGACACGCCATGAAGAAGTTCTTTTCTGATTGTGGATATTGGGGGTACAATATGCCTCACTCATCTGTATGCTTAATGTTTTCCCCATACTGGAAATGTGGTGTTATTTCTGTAAATAGTTTTTTTTTATGCCATTTGTGCATTCTTGTGCTGTTTTCACTAATACCAATTAATCTTACACTAGTCTGACTTATTTATTCACAGAATAAACTATGACATCTTTCAGATGTACTTGATTTCATTTTAAGGGCATTTGCTTAGTAGATTTTGTCACTGCCCTCAGTTACAAATGGAAAAATTGAACTTTAATACAAATTACACTGAAAAAAATTTACAGAATGGGTGAGTTGCACACAACTGGAATACAAAGCCAGGCTGTTTGACTTGGGAATTCTCACAGTACGATTCTTTGTTTTCTGCATGGCCGAAAATTCCATCAGCAAGAGAACCTGTGAGAAATTCCACAGTGTGCTCGTGCAGTGTAAGTGTTTTCTTCATTTTCTGGTGCATAAGTCCAGCAGAGAGGTTGTAGAGTGTAGTGTGTAAGAGTGAAGCCTCCAAAACTAGACTACTTTGGTCCAAATCCTGGTTTCTTACTTGAAGCAAATTATTTACCTTTATTTGCTTTTCTATGTTTAATTTCTTCCTGCATAAAATAAAGTAAAATGTAGAATCTGTAGATGAAAATAATTGAAAGAATGTGAGAAAATTATATCGACCTATCTTACAGTGCTTGATCTGATGATCCTTTAATATTTTCAAAGTTTACTTTGCACATGAAAAAACCTTACATATTTTAAGTTAAAAAAATTCGGCTACAAATGTCACTACAAGTAAAACTGGAAACAAACCCTATTTTTATAACATATACATGATGAGAATGCTCGAATATCCATAAGTCTTTTTGTTTGTCTCCACCACACCCAAAACAACTATTCTTAGTGGCTCAAATGCTGATTATAGTAAGAGAGCGAGAGAAAGAGAGAGAGAGAGAGAGAGAGAGAGAGAGAGAGCGAGAGAGAGAGACTCACTGCAACCCTTGCATAGTGTCTCGAATAGTGAATTTCATTCCTGGCTTATATCTGGCTTCATTTCCCACATCCTCAGGGATATAGAACCCATTAGACATTTTGAGCATTTGCACTGAATCATGTGTTTGGCTTTATAAGTTGCTATACGCAGATAACTACACAATTCATCATTACTGCAGGTCTTCTTGGATTCTAATGTGTCCCTGTAATAAGTATTTCATGTATAAAACATTTCGTGTAGCAAATGATGGCCAGTATTTTTAAATGTTACAACAAAGAGTGAGGAAAGTAGGAACCCACTGTGCAAGACTGGAATTGAATCTACAGTCTAAATCTATACATTGAAGCCTACTAGATTGGGGGTCCAATCACTGTATGCCCCTTCAGTTCCGTGGGATGAATATTAATTATATTTTTGTTGTGTAATCACAAAGTATACTCTTCAGAAAGGAATTGATATTAAGATACAACGATGTTCAATGAAAATATTACAACAATATTTAAATATTAATTTAAATATATTTATAAGGCATAAGAAAAGTCAATTAAACAATTTACAAGCACTAGAAAAAATTAATCCAATAAAATATTTAAAACTTCTGCCTCTGGGGGCTGGGGATTTAGCTCAGTGGTTCGGTGCCTGCCTTGCAAGTGCAAGGACCCCAGTTCAATCCCCGGTACCAAAAATAAAAAAGAAAAAGAAAATAAAACCAAAAAACTTATGCCTCTGTACTATAACACTAAATAAGTAAAGATTTAAGGTAAGAGTTTTATTTCACACACTAGAAGTATTTCTTTCTTTTTTTCTTTTATTTATTTTTATTTTTTATTTTTATTTTTGGTACCAGGGATAGAACTTGGGTCTTTGTGCTTGGAGGTTGGTGCTGGAACCACTGAGCTAAATCGTTGGCCCCAGTAAAAGTTTTTCAACTACTGAAATGCAAATTAAAATGAATGATCCAGGAAGTTTTTGCTTTTATTCTGAACCCATTTTAGCCTCAGGTTCTGAACATTTATGCTGATAAATTCTTTAAAATCTGAATTATTATTTTCTCACATTTTGTATCTCACAATACTTGGTAGAATAAGCTGTGCATAGAAATTGCTTAGCAATTTTAGTTCAATTGAATTGAAAGCCTTTTGACCAGTTATGATAATGATATCTGCTCATTTATCAAATTCCTGTTTTGAAAATTATAACTGTATAACTGCTTGTAACCTCAGTGCTTTCATGTGAATAGAAACATGAATTAGCATACCTGCTCCTGGATTGCTCTAGTTTCTTGTGAATATATAATAAATGTGGCAGCCCGATTAACTTGTCAAAAAACATTGAAGAGAAATCTTTCATTTTTCATTTTCAAGTCCAACTTCTCCCAACTCTTGTGATTTGAAAATAGCTGACTAAATGCATGGAAGGGCTACAGAAATTAGTGTTCAGTTTGTTTTTACCTTCAGAAGGATACTTCTTAGATGTTCAGACTAATTAATGTGTGATAGGACTATATTAATCATCAACAACTCTAATATTCCTTTGTATAAATTATGAAACTAACATTCCAATGAGAATGTGGTTACTTTAATTATTAAATATTATTGAAAGAAAATTAATGGTCATGGAAATTTTTCTTGGAAATATTGTGGATACCCATTTCTTAGGTGAGATTCCAGAAGTCTGGGAGTAATGAAGTGGAATATTTATCAAAGGAGATTTACTCATATCTCCCCCCAAAATATCTGACGATTAATGTCTCACACAGCTTCAGCATCTTTGGCATAGAGAGATAAGTATATAGATGTGCGTTTCTTCTCGGATCTGTGTCTAACTACAATTCTGCAATTCTTTCCATTGTCGTCAAAGACAACGTTCATATTTCCTTACTTGATTCGTTCGATATAAAGATAAGTATGATTAAAGGAATCATGTATTTCTCACCTCTGGCAAATAACATATTGCTGCAACACTAAAGAAAACTAGACCTGGATTTTTTAAATAAACTAAATGATCTTTGAATATGAGAACTCATAAAATCTTAATGAAGTCTTTTCTTGGGGCATGTATTAAAAATGCAGCAAGAACAGCTACAAAGTGTCTAGTCTTAATAAATAATGATATCCTAATAAGGATCATGGAAACACTGGCTTCAGAGATCCTTAAAGTCCCCAAAATATTTCCAGATGAACTCATTTTCTCATTTTAAAGCAAATCTAAGAGATCGGTTTTAATCTCAGGGAGACTGCAAGTTTGCCATCACTGTAGAATAAGAAAATAAACAGACCTTGCTTGTTCATATGAACGATCATGAAACTTCTGCTTAATAGAGATTCACAGTGCAAAATGGATGCCTTAGGAAAAAACGATGAGAAAATGAAAGAGGATCCTAAAGGTTGGATGGAAAATTTCTATCGGCAGAATTGTTGCAGGCTTATCACATGAGCAAGGCTTGCTTTTTGTCCAGTCTTTATAAATCTATTACAGCTAAGAAGGAAAAGAAAAATCTGCATTTTTATATTAAATAAAATCACATAATGGAAAATACTGAAGATGTAACTTTAATGTTTAGTTCTCTGCACGAATAAATCAATCACTACAAAGATAATCATAATATAGACAAGCAAAGTAGTTCAAACCCTGGCACCAATTCATATATGCATTTCTTCAGCCAGAATTAATCTACAAAAATTGATGAAAACCAAACCTACAGGTCTTTATCTTTAGTTTGTTTTTTCTTTTTCTTGGGGGGGGGTTATTATATTTGTCCCTGGAAAGGAAAATTAAAATCTCACTTTTAGTAGTGGCTATTCACTTTAGATTTCCCATTGAGGTTAAGGTTCAAGAATCCAGGAAATTTATTAATGATTAAGGCCAAAACAAAACCAAAAAAGTAAATAAAGAACAACCGGGAAAACTGAACTTGATTAACACCAAGAGACAAGGCTGAAAATGCAATTTGCCAATTTTTTTCTTCACTTAGTAAATGTCACTGCTTCCCAAAGGGGTAGTATTTTAATGTGCTGTACACTGAAATCCAAATGAAATTCAACCAAACACTCACTATACTCTCTGAAAGTTTATTTTTTAAAAAGAACACATACAATACTACAATCCCTCACATGTCTTTTACTTCTCCAGTATGTGGAGTTTGGCCAGTCCCTTATGTACTGAGCTTGTCCTGTTCCCTTCCTACCAGTGCCCAGCAAGGGTCACCAGTGAGGCACAGCTGCTTTTAGGGATGGACCTGGGACTATGAAAAAAACCCAGATTTGACACACAGCTTTTGGAAACGGAGAGGGGAGGAAAGCTTGGAGAAAGAAGAAGGGAATGTTTAAAGAGAAAAATGAAGAAATATTATGTAGAGGTACACATTCTTTATGATGAATATGATCATTGTGAATGACAAATGTGCACAAATAATAAAAGTGCATAAAAATAGATTTGAGAAAAACAACAGAGCTTACTGACCTCCATTTTCAGAACTCCATGGAACTATTAATGACCTAACAGGACTGGACTTCATGCCTTTTGGGTCCAATCTTGTCTTTCTATAGCTGTTTAATCCAAGTAAATCATTTCTTCTCTCGTGTATTGTTGAAAATAAACTTTTCTGAGAAAAATCAACAGAAGTTTGTGAAGGGTGAACAGTTCCTATAAACAGTCGCAGAGAATAACAGCAGAGAATAGAATCATTTTCATTCTACAGATAGTGTGTGAGTGCGCGGGTGTGCGCGCGTGTGTGCGTTGTGTACAGTGCTTCATTTTGATGCTTCAAACTTTGAAGCCTTAAGTATTTCCAACAAGCTCAAGGCAATTTTGCAGATTCAGTACACTCCTGAAATATCTAATTATTTAAAATCCAGATTTAACTTCTTTTAGTCATTGCTGGCCAGAATATCTTGGCAGCAACTACTCAGCTCCATTGCCGTAGAACAAAATAGTCTTAGTTTGTAAGCAAATGATCACAAGGCCAGCTTTAGCCAATGGTGTAGGTAGCATCTCAACCTCCACTTGAACTCGTAAGTGTAGTAGAGATGTAGAATTTTAAACCAAAATTTGCTCCCATAAATATTTCCACAGCCTAATCGTATTCTCATATAATTTCAGGTGATTATTATAGCTCATGACTGCTTAAAGAAGCATTCTTGTCTGTGAATTGTGTCTAAAATAGCACAGCATATTTTTCGAAATAAGAATTATGTTTGAATTTAAGTGGTTTATCGTTCCATATTGGAAATTTTATTTCTCATTTCTTATTGTACCATTAAAATATTTATATTTAGAGTTAACAGTTGCATGCTCACAAACAAGCACCATCAATATTTTTCACTTTGATGCTTTTTATGATAATACACTGTAATTGGATTCAGCAGTAAATCCAAACACAGCTCTGAGGCATTGACCTTGCAAGGCAGACCACTGAACTGCTGAGCTAAATCCCTGGCTTTAATTTAAAGTTAAATACATATTTTCCAATTATTTCTAATATTGTTTGAAAATGTGTGTATCATAACTAGTAACACTTATGCACTTCTTAAATTTGAGGGAAAAGCACAAGGTTATTCATAAAACTTAGCCCTAAGAAAGCTCATTGCAATTTTGCTCATAACAAAGTTGTTGAAAATAAACACATTATCTGATCTGAAATTTAAGAGAATAAGTTATGACCTAATTTGTTATCTCTTTAATACTTTTACTCTGTGAGAAGAAAATTCAGAGGCATGGAAGTCAGTAAAGAGGCAAAGTAAAAGGAAATATGATTCTGTATATCTTTTACTCTGTCAGAACAAATTGTGAGTTCTTTATATGTGAGTAGCTGGAATCTCAGTGTCAGACCAAATAACCACTATTGAAAGTCCTAAAAGCTAGCAAAAAAAGAGTTCTTGAAGAATCTCAATCTTCCATGTATCCAATTTCCTAAAAAGAATTAAACTAAGAAATTACAATCAATAGTAATAAATATTTGTATGTTTCTTACTGTTTGTTAAGTGTAGTATCCATGTGACTTTTTCTGCCATGTGAAAATCATGGTTCTTATACTGTATAGATGGGAAAATTAAACATTTGAGGTATTACCAATCTTTGTAAAACAAAAATCATTGAACACAGAGCCTCCATTTAAATTTAAGACTTTTGCTTCAAACTTCCTACTCTTTCATAACCATTCAAGGATATCTCTAGCAGAATTTTGGCAGATGCTCAGAAAAAGATTTCATCACTAACTTTTGATACTTTATAATATTAAAAAAGAAATAGGGATTTATTTTGGAACCATTTAATTTATATTAACTTGTATCTCGAAACATTCACCGAGGAGAAGTGAAAGGATTCTAACTATTTTGGGCAAGGATGTCTTTATTGGAGTCTACTGCTTAGCTATCAATTTATCAAAATTTTACATCACCTCCATGGATTTTATATTTGTATAATCATTACAACTATGTTTTTTAACTTCTTGAAGAATCTCAATCTTCCATGTATCCAATTTCCTAAAAAGAATTAAGCTAAGAAATTACAATCAATAGTAATAAATATTTGTATGTTTCTTACTGTTTGTTAAGTGTAGTATCCATGTGACTTTTTCTGCCATGTGAAAATCATGGTTCTTATACTGTATAGATGGGAAAATTAAACATTTGAGGTATTACCAATCTTTGTAAAACAAAAATCATTGAACACAGAGCCTCCATTTAAATTTAAGACTTTTGCTTCAAACTTCCTACTCTTTCATAACCATTCAAGGATATCTCTAGCAGAATTTTGGCAGATGCTCAGAAAAAGATTTCATCACTAACTTTTGATACTTTATAATATTAAAAAAGAAATAGGGATTTATTTTGGAACCATTTAATTTATATTAACTTGTATCTCGAAACATTCACCGAGGAGAAGTGAAAGGATTCTAACTATTTTGGGCAAGGATGTCTTTATTGGAGTCTACTGCTTAGCTATCAATTTATCAAAATTTTACATCACCTCCATGGATTTTATATTTGTATAATCATTACAACTATGTTTTTTATTCAACTAACATTTTTCCCTACAAATTAATTTTATATTGAATGTGTGGATGGACAAAACAAAAAACAAAAAACAAAAAAAACCTAAAAAACACAAAACTGCATAGTTACCTAGAGCACAAAGACAGCAGTGCTGGAACCAGACCAAGCACTGTGAAACTGAGCTGGGCTCTCTGTCACGGCAGGGAGAGTGAGAGTTTGAGCCTTTTTCATAGTCTGCCCACCTGTCACACAGACAGCAGGAAATGACTCAAACAGAAAATGACTGAGGCCTTCAAGATGGAAACCAGGACTTGAAACTCACACTCAGGACCCCATGTGACCCAACTGGTCACAGACTTAGGAAGCTCTAGTCAAACAAGATCAAGTCAAAGGCAGTGATGCTCCTAGAGAGAAAGCCCTAGCACAAGCAAGAGACAAAATCACCCACCATTTAGCCTGTTTCTTAATTACAGCATTCGGGCAAGTGAGCAGATGAGTGACACTCACAGATTTTCTTTGCACAAACAGCGTGGGAAAGCTGGAGGAAATTTTCAGAGTGTTTTCCCTGGTGACACCTTTGCACAGCTTCCCGCTTCTTTACGTGTAGCAGTATAAATTTATGAGAGCCTTTTCTTATCCCCTCAATTAGCTTCACTTTGATAATCCATTTTACTCAGCGTTATCTAAAATTCTTTAAGTTTATGCTTGTGTTGCAAGAGTCCTCCCCCCAGTGAAAGCACAAAGAAGCCAATGAGAGTCACTGCCCACTTTTTCACATTTCTTCAGCTGGACTTTGATTCTAGTAGCCACAGGAATTCCTAAAATAGCAGTGTCTTTACAAATCCTTTATTATTCCCTGTCCATGTTTTCTTCATCAGTTCATTAGATTTATTTTTGTTTGTTTACTTAGTCCACCGTAGCTGTAATACTTTCTTTTTAAAAATAGAAACAAAGAGCTCAAGGGTTCAGATCCGTGGCTTGTTTAAATCTGAATCCGGCTCCCTGAATTCTTTCTTCTGTTTCTGACCTTGGTCACCTGCTGGCTCGTTTCCCTCATCTGTGAAGTCAGGGTGATTATTCACCTCACTGATAAGATTATATGAGAAGGAAATGACTTGGCTTGTGCAAAAGCCTTCAGAAAAATTCCCACACCATCAACAGGCTCTGGGCTTCCCCACTTTACTCGGGAATTTCACAGGCAGGCTAAAATGTGAGACCATTTCACATTATCGTAGACATAATTATCTGCCTCAGTTCTGACCAAGAATAATGTCAACGAATTTGTTTAACTTGTGAACATATGTGCAAATGGGCATGTAAAGGGAAGTCTAATTACTCTATCAAGTTTACCAGTGTCAGTGAATACTCAAATGACTAGACTAGCAAAGGTTGAAAAAACACTGTTGTATTTTATGCAGTTATTTTTTCAGAAGATATGGGAACTTGGAAGTTTTAAAAAGATTTTACTATTCAATGTCTTGTAATTTGGCTGAAAATATCATGTAACAACTTTTGCTCACCGAATATGATCGATCATCTCAATGGTAAATCACACACAAAAAAAGATACTTAGCCATAATTGGAAAGAATGTTTTAAATATTCCATCTTGACCATCAGAGTCTCTGCCAGCTTTTCATTATTCAGACCAAGTATTGTCATGAAAATGAATTCATCAATGTAACAGAGATAAATGAGCCCACACAGAACAGGCAGGATCGTCTTCCGGTTCTTACCAGAGAAATTGTCTCATTCTCCTATTATATCAGTGACAAAGATGTCTGAGCTTTATGAGCTTCGCTTTCCATTTAGTCTTTTTAAAATATTAATGACATGATGATTTAACCTCAAAAATAGGTTCAAGAAAGTGCTTAGAAAGTACTTCCAAGGTTGAAGCCTGCAGATAAAACTAATCAAATTATCTAAAAGATTAGGGTATTTCATGCAAGCAAGTTAATAAAGTTATTATTAATGTTAACCTGAAAATGTGAGTTAAATAAGGCAATTTAGAGAGTCAAAATATTCATATTTTACCCATAAAATCATGTAGTAGGGAAGCATGGAGTAATTAATTAAAACATACTTTTTATGTGCATCATACCTTGTAATAGGTATTCTAGCATGAAGCCAAAAGTATCCTAGCTTGAAGTCAAACTCTAGCTGTTCTATTTCATATATGAGGCTACTTAAAAGTATACTGAATCTTTATGGGTTCTCCATTCCTAAAAATACCAATGAACCTTTTGGTAGAAAACTGAAAGACACCGGGCACAGGTTCAGTGCCTTGGCTTCAGAGGAAAGAATGACCCTTAGCATAGCATGGCATCTAATAAAGTTCACATCCATCTGGGCCTTGCATTCAGGTCTGACAGGAATAAAAACTGCTCCCTTGTGCACTCTTAGGTAGACCTCGCAGCTAGGGTGGTTCTTCAGTGCGTGGCCAAGCTCTTGTGTAGGAATCTTAGCCCCCTGCGGTAATGTTGGGGCTGCTGGACCCTCTGCTGGTGAGGCATTGCCTCAGGACCAATAAGTACTTCTCTCACAGTGTGGCTCACTTCTGTAAAAAGTGAGCTACAGGAGAAGAGGCGTCCTGACCCCTCACGGTAGACCTCGCAGCTAGGGTGGTTCTTCAGTGCGTGGCCAAGCTCTTGTGTAGGAATCTTAGCCCCCTGCGGTAATGTTGGGGCTGCTGGACCCTCTGCTGGTGAGGCATTGCCTCAGGACCAATAAGTACTTCTCTCACAGTGTGGCTCACTTCTGTAAAAAGTGAGCTACAGGAGAAGAGGCGTCCTGACCCCTCACATTCCTTTCTCTTCCCATCACAAAAGCTGCTGGACCCTCTGCTGGTGAGGCATTGCCTCAGGACCAATTCACAGTGTGGCTCACTTCTGTAAAAAGTGAGCTACAGGAGAAGAGGCGTCCTGACCCCTCACATTCCTTTCTCTTCCCATCACCAGCAACCTCTTCCAAGTGTCCTGGGCCCTGGTTCATCCACACTTCATGTGTGCCACACAGAGCCAGCACGGCGCTCTTACAACCCCAGCACCGAGAGTTCACTAAAGCACCTCATCCATGCCCCGACTCACCATGTAGTCATCCAACAGTAGGCGCTCTGAACATGATTGTTGTGGAAAGCTGTTTTAAGACAGATGAGTAATGACAAAGGAAATGACTTTGACTGAGAAGTTCTGTTGCTATACTGAAATACTATAGAATTCATAATATTTTTTGGCTTTTTATTTCATGTGAAAATAGTTTACACAGAGAGAAATTTGTGTCTCAGAGTTCTGGAGGCTGGAAATACAAGGTCAAGGGCCTAGCAGATTCTCCAGCTAGTGAGGATCAACTTTCTGGTTCATTCTTTTCTCTCAGCCCGAACATGACATAAAAGATATCAATGCTCTCAAAATATCATCATAGAGACCTCACCCTCTGGCAAGAGAAGTCACTGACTGAAGGTTCTACCTCCTCACATCATCACAAGTGAGGTTAGGATTTCAGCATACGAATTTTTATAGGCACACCCAGTGTATTGCAAATATTTTCAAAAACCCATTTAACTATGTGCGATTGAAAGTGTAGATGCTACAGAACACCTTGGTAGCTTCCAGCTTGAACTGAAGCTTCCAGACCTCTGCAATATTCTTAATAAAGAAAAGAGAGAAACTATTACAACAGGAAAAAATGGCGTTTCTTGGAAGGCACTGTAGTTCAGCTATGACAAGTGTGTTTGAAGAAGCAAAAGAAATGACACAAAGAATTAAGGGAAAAAATGTTTTCACAAACAGTATTAATAAATATGTTCTCCAAAAAGAGAGAACCAAATGTAAATGCTCAAGTTGAAAATTATAGCAACTGAAATGCAAAATCTTACCATGGAGACACAAGAGATTTGAGCTGGTAAAAGAAAAAAAATTAAAATATCAGATATGTCAGCCGTGGTCATTCGGTTCCATTAGTGACCTGTAGGAAACCTTCAAGTCCATAAATGCAGCATGCTGGGAGTGACCAAAGAAGGAGAGAATACTAAAAGACGTTCTTCAAATATTTGAAAGTTGAAAAACTTTCCAAATGGTTTGGAAAATATTAATATTCACATAGAGAGAGCTCATAAAACTCCTGGTGGAGCACACTCAGAGTTGAAACCTAAGTACTTTGAAACATCCTAATCAAGCTGCTGAAAAGCAATACAGAATGTTTAAAATAGCAAGAGAAAAATGGCTCATCCAGTGGAGGACACTTCCGTGAGTTTAGCAGCTGACTTCCCACACAAGCACAAGAGCCACAGCGGGTGAGATGACCCTACAGGTGTCAGGGGAGAGAAAAAGGACAGTCAGCTAAGAGTCTGAGGCCCACCCAAAACGATTCTTCAAAACTGAGAGATAAACCTGGATAATATCAGGCAAAGAACAGCTGAACGTGACCAAGCAAAATGACAGCTCCTACAATAAGGAGCAGGTCCTGTCTAAATGAAAAGATGCTAGTGAGGGACTTTCATTCACCCCAAGAAGTAAATAAAGGACCATATCAGAGTAACTCAGCAAGGTTAAATGAGGATGTACCTGAATTTTTGGCTTATAACATTTTCTATACCACAAGGCTTTTATGACAAGTCCATACAGCATAATTATGAAGGTCTTTCCTCTGTGACAGAAAGGTGGATTTAGGAAAAGGAGCTATACTGTAAGGGTTTTTATTGCATTTATTTTAAGTTAGTGTAAAACTAAACTATAAGACTTTACGAGCTGTGTTGTAATTCCCAGAGCAAGCAGTAAGAAAATGATTTAAAATATAGTGAAAGAAACCAACAGAGAATTAAAATTACTACTAGAAAATATGTATAATGGGATACAGAACCAGGCGAGCAAAATGGCACCATACCTGATAAAAGCCAAACGGAAGTGTACAGCTATGAATTCCAACTCGTTAGTATTTGCCGTAAATGTAAGTGGATTAAAGGTTCCAATCCAAAGTCTGGATTGAAGAAAAATGACCATGGAAGGTATTTATGATCCCCAGGTAGCTGGATTGCACAATTAAATGTTAGTAATCTGAGCCTGTGCCTGCCGCAGAGCCCTGGCAGCGTTCCCCCGGGACGAGAAGCCCGTAAGAGCACTGCCTGCTGGCCCTGTCCCCTTCCAGAACTCTCCTAGTCGCTGCAGTTGCTACCAGGTGAGTTGCATTCCTAACAGTTGGACCCAACCGTCTACCTCACCCTGTCTGTTAATATCTAGCTCCAACCTTATCCCTCAGATCTTCCAAACCATCGCAGCCCACAACCCTTGCAGAGGATTCGACTAATGATTAGAAACATGTCTATACTTTTGCCTCACCCCACGTTTTCTGTGCAAAGTGATGAACAGCTGTTCCAACTGCAGCTGGCGTTCTCCCCTTTTGGCCATCATTAACGGCACCCTCTGCCCTGCTGCAGTGCGGCCGCAGCCGGTTTCTGTCGCAGTTGTCTGAGCGCTGGTCTTCCGCCTTCCCTGTCCACTCGGCCTGTGGCACAGGTGTCTTCTGAACCTGCGGGGTGAGCCGGATAGAGCGGGAGTTGGATTCCTGTGACTGACCCAACGAGTCACCTCAACTCTTGTTTTCTCAAACTAATAGAAATGTATCCTCTTCCTATTTCTTCAGACAAGAGTCCAAAATCAATGTGATTAGGCTGGAACTAAGCTGTTCTCCCGGGCATAAGACCCCAGCAGGCTCCGGGGAGAACCCGTTCCCTGTCCGTCTCGGAAGGGCGGCTCCACTGACGGCTCGAAGCTGAATCGCGCCCAGCGGGGCCTCCACGCTGCCCTCTCTCTTCGCGGGTCTCACCCAACCTCTCTAAGAGGAAGTCACGCTACCCAAAATGTGGTAACGCCTTCCCAGCTCTCTGCTTGCTAATCGTTGGCATATCATTATAAAAGCCTACCCTGAGAAATGGGACATTTATAATACAACCACACTTTACCACGTCAAGTCCCACACATGCCTACTAGAGTAAACAATTTACTGAATCTGTTTTTAGTCTGAAGAGAGGTAGATAATTATAGATACGAGCATACTAATTACAAGGTGAAAATTACAGAAATTTGGCCAGTTCTGTACAAGCAGAAGGACGTTTATTTTATTCAATGATTGCTTACTGAAAATCTGTTCCTTTAAAAAGGAAAAATTCGATGTACAAAGGTGAATAACACACAAGATGTTTTTAATGAATTTAATCCATTTCATTATTAATAATGTATTATTTTTATATTGTAATTGTCAATAAGTCAGAAAAATTGTATTTTTTTCAAAAAATAAATTATTTGTACTTTAAACACACAAAATTATTTAGAAAAATTAAACAGGGCAATAAGTTTAATGAATTCTTTATTTTGCTAGTCACTGTCTTTCAATAAAATAGAGAAAGCACGATACACTATTTTAAATTTTAGTTGACATTAATGTCAGGTTAAGCACTTAGGGTTGATTCAGAGATATTTGACATAAATCACAGACAATGTCTCCAGGTTTGACAATTGCTATTTAGTTCATGTATCCACTTATTATTTATTGGACAGCTCCTCACCATAATACTAAAGAAGTCAGTTAAACATAGAATGAAAGAAAATTGTAAATTTTTTAATATCAAATAATAAAAAGGAAAAAAAATCCTTACAATTATTTTCTAAAATTGGCAAAAGCATGACAGAAATCATTTTAATCATGCTTTGTAATGATAGACTTTCCCTAAAGCATTTTGATTACCTGTTTTGTACTTATCTACTTTCAAGCTAGATATGTGACTCATTTCCAATAATATTATAAGTACATAATTAAGTACTAATAACTAAACTTAATTGAAAGGGTGTTGGGGCCTGGTATGTGCTTAAAATTTCATATGTGTTGTCACTAATACATCCCTTTCATATGATTGGTACTATCATAAACATTTAATATTTAAGTTTTTCAGATGAGATTCAAATTAAGCAAGTTCCCAGAGCATCTCTCTCTCTCTCTCTCTCTTTTTCTCTCTCTCTTTCTATCTATCTATCTATATTTCACTACAGAAAATAAGAATAAACACAGGCCTGACCACAAGTTGATAATCTGTCCATTATTCTATACATTTTCCAGCAGGAGTAGGATTGTGAGTTAATTTTCTTATTGCCCAGACAAACTCCCCAGCATCCAAAATTAAGAGGAAAGGTTTACAGTATTTGGCTCCCAGTTTGAGGTGTCAGCCCATAATCGTGGCTTGGCAGAGGGACATGGCAGAGAAGATCAGTTCATGGTAAAGCAGGGCAGGCAGATTGCATGGACAGCAAGTCCAAGTGGCCTCAGCAGCGCCCATTCTATATTCTGTCTAGGCCACTGCGATCAGAGTGGTGCCAAGCCAATCAGTGCAGGAGCCCGGCTTGAAAGCATACTGGGGGGGCTATAAAGTATTATTGAAGTGAAACTGGCTACCGACTACATTGTGAGTCTGTCCTAGGCCCACGTGATTTGCTAGACAAGCCTTGGCTGGTGTATGGAAACAGAACTCCCTATGCCAATGTCACCGTGGAGATTTCAGTGAGATGATTCTGTGACATCTCTGATAGTAAGAGAACATGGCAGAGAGGATTTACGACTCTGTACAGCCATTTCCCAGATCAAATGCTAGCTAAACGCTAGGTGACTTGTTAACTAACTACAGCTTGTCCTTCCCTTTATAAGCCTGGTTCTCATTAGTGTCTTAGTCCCGTTGTTGCCTATTATCTGCCTTTATGCAGCCTGTTCTGCTGTGTGTCAATAAATACTGACAACTCTTAGCTAAGAAGGGCTTAGGCCATCTCAGACCCACATTAAAACAATCCTATCTCTTTGTCTGTCTTTGTCTTTTATCCTTCTCTGTACCCTCAGTGCAGAGGTCTGGCAGCCCCTGATCCATCAGTGCACTAATTTAGTAATTACATGCCATTAATCCTAGTACCCTTAACCCTAGCATTGAACCATGAATCAAACACACTCTCTAAATTCAGCCACCTCTAAAAAAAGCACCACCTATGACTGCATAAGGCTTTGGCAGAAAATTTGAACAGGAGCCACGGTAATGTGCATATGTATGTATGTTTGTGTATAAAAACTACTGGAATCCCTGAAAAGTTACCAGAAACCTCTGCAGTAGGTTCTAGTCTCCTGCCCAGTGTACAACACAGGCCTGAGGGGGGAAAAAACTAAGAGAGACAGAAAGCAGAGTCCTGGGATGACCAATGCCAGTGCAACAGACAAAGGCACTGGTCCATCCAAGCCACTGGTTTTTACTGGTAATCAACTGGTGTAAATGAAAGTTCTGTGCAGTTTCTATGGAAATTAATGTAAGCATGCTCATAAAGGATGAGGCAAAGCATTCTCAAATTAGGAACAGAGCAGACAAAATATAGGGTTGTAATTAGAACATTGCCTTCTAGTACGAAGGTTTTCGTTGTGGGAATGGAATTTAGATGCGAGTTACTCTGACCTCAGCATGTAGGCTTCAGACTCACTTCTACAAGCAAGTCAATTGAGATAACTCCTTACAGTCTGCTTTGGGCATAATCAATATTGCCTTCTACCTGGCTTTAATTAATTACTTTTATATTTGAAAGAGTAAGCAAAAATAAGAACCAAGATATATCATGTACAGGTACAAACAGCCAGTGATGAAATGTGATCACAATGTATACCCAAAATGTACCCTAAATTCAATGGATAAAAAAATGTAATCTGAAGTGGACTGTATTCCTTTCAAACATGAATTATCCAGAGCTTAGTCCAATTACAAATTAAATATAATGGCAAAAACGAGTGTTGAAATTATTTTATAGTTATTTGCTAAACTTTCTTCATTTATTTTTAAATAAAACTTTCCATAGTTAAGATTGGCAACGAACTGAAGTAATTGCCACTTTATAACTGACAAGATAATATAATTCTAAACAAACACTAAGTATTCGTGCTACTATCAATGATAAGCCACTGAGTCTGTGCATTAGATTTCTTCTCACAGCACAAAGCTTTATTCAAACACTTGCTCCTCTTTTACTTTTAAAATTATTTTATACAATTTTCATTACCATTGTTTATTAAAATTTTATAAATTTGTTTCATCATCCTCAAAGCAAAATTTTCAAGTATGGAAATAACATTTCCGTCTTTTATTGTCAAGGCACATAAAGCTAAACTGTCGATTTGAAGATGCACATTTTTACTATGTGAAAATTAAAAGGCAATGTTGGGCATAGACTCAGCCTATTATTATCAATCATTTTGTTTGAAGAAATTAAGTCTGGATCGCTGTGACTAATCTCCAACCGATCTCCAACCGGAGTTTTTCCTTCTGTTTATTGCGATAGGCTAGCACCGATTCCACAGTCCGCATGGTAACATCCGAGCGCTCTCTGAACTCAGAACGGTGGTGTTCGCTACCTTTTCCTAAGTGGGACACTCACGCAGCAGGTGTGTGCATCCTGTTTGTACCGCCTTTGCCGCTACTGCTGCTCTTAGTGCTGAGTAGCGCACTCCCCTGTGTCTTCCTTCATGCACAGAGCACACTCTGTCCCAATCTCCTGCTGCCCTCGCTCTGCCCCGACCCCTCCTGAGATCTTCTTTGTCTTGCCCAGCAGTCGCTCTCCCACTTGAGGCTCTGGGTCTCCAGGACTCTGGGTCTTTTCTACTTTATCCATAACGTTTGTAGCTTGAGGTCAGAACATATTTTATAGTTTAATTTCTTATTGCCTGGATCCTTCCACATTAAGGCAAACTTTCACAGTAAGGTTTCTACTATTTTGTTACCTCTGTAAATCCTTTGTCTAGATCTGGGTCTTATTCATAACGCAAAGCTGTTATGTATGTTTTATTTAAGTTTTAATTAATACATTAGGTAAACATGTCCTGATTTTTCCTCATCATTTCACCTGTACAGATTTATTCTTTATGCTACTTCAAATTTCAGTAGTTTTTAAGCCATTTCTAATTGTAATGCTTGTATATGAAGATTTAACATGGTTTAATTTACATGCATTCAAGGTGCAAATTTGAAATCAGTCATGTGCTTCAAGATAACTTTATTTTCCTTATTTTTGAAAAAGTGATATAAAATCAGAGCATAATATGTACTATTTTCTAAAGCAAGAAAACAAATGATATACCAAATAAATTTTTACTTTAGATTGCTTAAAACAAATGTATTATTTTATTCTCTTCAAAAACATGGAGAACATCCTCCTAATTGCATCATTATTTTATTTTGGCACGCTAATTAAGTATTTATTTTAGTGGCTCTTGAGTAATATTGACTTCATAATGATTTATGTTAAATTAATCTCTTTTAAAACTTATTAATTTTATAATTTGCACATAAATTAGCAATGAATAAACTAATGATTTACTCAAGTGGCACTTCGTTGTTTTAGGAGAGAAAATTATGAATTATTTTAACTTTAAAGATAGAAGTTTTCAAATTGTTCCTGTAATGGTGTATAATTATTTTTTATATTTGGGGAAACTTTCTGCCTTAAAGGAACCATGCCTTATGCTGGTGTTCTAAGTGTTTGGGTTTATTTTGATAAGGCCTCTCATTTCACTTGCATTGTTTTCCTATTGTCCAATGCTACGCTGTTGGAATGAGGACAGGGGTTGCATGGGAGCACAGTTCAGAAAGGTGCAGGAGCGGAGGTGAAGGCCACACCGGGGTTTGGCCACTACAGGAAGGTGAGGTGGGAAGGTGGCACATCCCAGCCCAGCCCGGGCAACTTAGAGAACGAAATGCCTGAAAAGGGCTGGGGGTACAGCTCAGAGCAAAGGCTGTGGGTTTAAACTCAGCACTGCTAACTGGCTAACTAAGTGGGTACCTAAATGAAGAAAAGGTACATATTATCCAATGAAGTTCTCATGAAAATGACCAGTGGAAAAAGCTTTCCTCCTTCTCTGAATCCTAGCCATTAAGGCAACAGCTTCTCATTCGATGAAACTATCATTCCACCACTTAAATATTACTGGTTGAAATTTAGCGTATAGAAATAAGTTATAATTTATAATGAATGTCTTAGTAATGTTTTTAGGTAAATTTCAGTCCTGAACTTTATTACCAAGTACCAGACCAGATTATATGGAATAGATTTAGACCAAACTATGTGTAACTAAGTATATACATTTTGCACAAATTTTATACCAGTATTTGTTGAGTAGATTATATGAATAGCATATTAAGACATTTGTACATTTCCCTATAATGGTGCATTTATTGAAATATATATGATTAGTTTAGTGCAACCAGCAGCCGCATTAGTAAAGAAAAGAGAATTTGGTACAGGACAAAATCTGCTGATGAGGTAAGGCCTGGATTTATGGGAAGATTCCTCAGAAGCTTTGTGAAGGGACAGCAGAGAATATGACGTTCTAAAGGACAGTGTCAAGAATAAATACCAAAGGTACTTTTCAGACATAGAATCACTTCATAAATATTCCTTGTGACATTGATTTTGGAGGTGATAATATAATCAACTAAGATAAATCAAAGCTGCTCACCTGATGTTATTTCCTAGCGCTGACGGTGAAACTCGGGCCATGACATGTGTCTCAAAGCTAAACTGAGCTGAATCCTCAGAACTGTGGGATTCAGCTGTGAGTACAACTATTTTTTTATTTTAAGACATATAACAGAATGTCTTAAATCTATTTACGGCCTTCGATTGTCAAGGTGAATGACAGGAATTTGAATTGAAAAACTACTTTCCTAATGTCATAGAAATAGATTGCTTAAAGGAAAAGAAAGTATTTTGTCACCAAAACTACATATACTTTCCTTGACCTTGACAAGGAGCACGACTTGAGAATTTGCAAAAAGACTTCAAAAGGTCATGTCTTCAAATCATTCTAAGAGGAACATCTGAAAAAATGAGCCAAGGACACAAGTCCTGGTCTGTGTTCTGTGTCTGAGAGATGGGTCGATAACAGGCACACAGTGCTTCTTCCAGTTTCCGTCATACATGGTGTGGTCTCCACGTGAAATGCCACCTCTCGCAGAGGCTGTCTGCCCTGTGGAGTCAGCTCTTTTCTTCTGCTGGTTAACTCCAATTTCTGGCCCATAATTTGAGTTGTTTTTCCCTTTGGCCAGCCTCCTATTGGTGGAGGTGGCTATCCTGTCAATTTCTGAGTTGTGTTCAGTTGTGCTAAGCAGAATGCCTGCATTACGATCCCTCCATTTATTTTTTTCAAATTCTTTTTTGGGATTCAAACTATTTTTTCTGCTCTCATTGAGTTTATTGGTACATTCTAGGTATACAGTACAGTTACATTCATTATTGGGATCTTGTACCTCTACATGCCAGGTCTTGGTTCTCATTTTTTCCCCTTGTCCCTGCCCTCCCTTCACACCCCCACCCCTCCCCATTTACAAACAGTTTCTTTCCATTTTCTCATATTTTTTTCCTCTTCCTTATTACCTTTCCCCTACCCTTCGCACTTCTCCTACACCTTTAGGCCTTTTCTTCCAATGTGAAATAGGATCCCTCCATTTATTAAATGTGTCTCTTATTTTTTAATTACACCCTATCTATATGGTATCTTCCATACCCCCATATACCCAGGAAACACAATTTGAGTATTCACCAATTTTAATTATTCATAAGACAGTACATATTTTGACAAATTATTATTAGTATTGCAAAATTCAAACAAAAACAGATGTAGAAAAATCAGCTCACACTTTTGAAGTTAATGCCTGCAGCATTTAGTTTTCCAGGGGGAAAATATCTTGGAATTAGGCAGGACTTCAAGCGTAGTTTGAAGTAAACTGTTTCCACCTCTCTGTGAGTCCTGCCTTCTGGAATCTTACAGACATTTTCCACACTTGAGACCCTCAGACTTCTCAGAGAATGATCCATCCCCTGGAATTAGCAATCCCCCATAATTTAACTGCAACACTGACAGTCTTTTTACCTTTTGTGTCCACCGGTGCTGCTGTCCCACGTAGACACAGGCACACGTTGCATCATGAATTTTTAATTCACTCCTCCTTTTGGTGAAATGGAGCTGGAAGTGCACTGGTAAGGGTACCTGAGGGATCTCACTGCTACATCTCACCCATCCTACAGGTGGGATCTCACCCACCTCTGCAGGCGGGTGGCAGAAGACATAACTCCAAGCCATGTAGTCCACAAGGGTGCAGCCCGGTCTGCAAAGAACAGAAACCAACAGTTAGGCTGAACACAGAACAGTAATGAAGCCCAAGATAAGAGGAGACTTTGTTGCATGCTGCTTATATACACTCCTTGAGCACCCAGGGGCAGTTTCCTTCTGTCACAGGAGCAAATGCAACCTAAGGTAGGACGGTAGGAGAAGAGATGCCTCCTCGGTGTCTATGCTTCTCCTGCATCTCAACACTTGCTAAAGCTTCAAATTCAGTTGGAAAGTCCAAGCTGTAATCTACATATACTATGAACAGCCGGGCATGGAGGTGCACGCCTATAATCCCAGCACTCAGGAGGCTGAGACGGGAGGATCGCTGTGAGTTCAAGACCAGTCTGGGCTACATAGTGAGTTCCAGGTCAGTCTCAACTACATAGTGAGACCCTGGCTAAAAAAAAAAAAAAACAAAAACAAAAAAAACAAAGAAACAAATAAATATAGTATGAATGTTTAAGTAAAATTATTACAGTATAAGACAAGTTGCTATTTATTCTCCTCAAATTACTCCCTGTGGCCTCCAGCACTCATCCCAAGTTCTTACGGCTTTGTGAAGTGGTTCTAGAGTACTCCTTCATGACTGTCTTTACCTGTGTTCTCCTGACTGCCTCGCTGTCACGATTCTCTCCCCACATTCACCTTTCTTGTTCTTTGGGACCCCAGGGAAGAACCAGAAGTCACACAGGGCCCGACCCAGTAAACAGGCGAACGTGGATGCAATGCAGGACCGTGTTTCGGAGCCAGGCTGCCCTCAGCAGCTGCGTTCAGTGCTCCAATCCCCTCCGAGAGACACCCCAGCAGAGGACTTCTGGGGCTTCTTCCAAAGGCAGCACGAGTGATGGGATGCGTGTGTTCAGAGTGAACAGAAGGCTCTGTGAGGGATTAATGAGATGTGTCTTTTAATGTAATACATTTTTAATTTAAAATTTCACTGTATGTTGTGATCTACTCTTGATAGCCTAAATCCATCCTTTACCCATTCTGCCACAGATCTGACTCTTCTGCATTTGGAATCTGTGACAGGACAGCTAAAGAAGGAATAATCCAAAGTGCTCTTCCATTATTTTCACAGTCCAGATAAACACTTTTCTTCTTTAACTTTATAAAAATAATTTTATTGAGATACAGTTCATGCACCGAGACTTCCACCCTTATCACATCTAACATAGAGTGATTTTATTATGGTAACCAAAC